TGTTACCCAGGCTGGAGTGCTGTGGCATGATCTCTGCTCACTGTAACCTCCACCTCCTGGGCTCAAGCCATCCTCCCACTTCAGCCTCCCTAGTGGCTGGGGGACAACAGGCATATACTACCATGCCTGGCTGATTTTTTAAATTTTTTGTAGAGATGAGGTCACACTATATTGCCCAGGTTGGTCTTGAATTCCTGAGCTCAAGTGGTCTACCCACCTTAGCCTTGCAAACTGCTGGAATTACAAGTGTGAGCCACTACAACCCAGCCTATGATGAGCATTTTTCTATGTTGCAATTATAATTTGTAAGCATGCATGTTTCCCTTGAGTGGATATACCATAATTTAATTAAATAACTATTTTTGGTACTGTTGGGACACTGAAACTCCTCCTGTTTTTTGCATTTATAAAGATTTACATTTAAGAGTAACGGTGGTAATATTGGTGATGAAATCTTTCCTTCAGAACTTTCTCACCTAGACTTTAGGCTTTTTTTTTTTTTTGAGACAGAGTCTCACTCTGTTGCTAAGGCTAGAGTGCAGTGGCACAATCTCAGCTTACTGCAACCTCTGCCTCCTGGGTTCAAGTGATTCTTCTCCCTCAGCCTCCTGAGTAGCTAGGACTACAGGTGCCCACCACCACACCCAACTTTTGTATTTTTAGTAGAGATGGGGTTTCACCATATTGGCCAGGCTGGTCTTGAACTCCTGACCTTGTGATCCGCCCACCTCTGCCTCCCAAAGTGCTGGGATTACAGGCATGAGCCACTGTGCCTGGCCGGACCAGTTCTTTTTTTAAATACAAAAACTGAAAAGTGAAATGGAAAAATAAACTAGAGATATATAAATTACAAGGCTACAGTTTTTATTATTAGATTCAATAGACATAAAATCACTCTGCCACATTTCTCTAAAGTTTTTCAAAGGTCACTCTCCATTTCTATACTATCTGATAGAAGAGCAGGACGAGCAGTATACCAGTTTGTGGACTGGCAGCAGCCCAAAGATCATACCTTGAGTATACTGCTCCAGGATACTGTATCACTTGGTCTTCATCACCTCCTGCTGATACCGCCAGCTACTTTGTTTCTCCACTTTGAATTTCCTGCATTTGAGGCAGTTGCCTCAGCCACCTTTTGTTACCACCTATTCCTTTATTTCCCTTTTTTTGTTTTTGACACAGGATCTACTCTGTCACCCAAGCTGAAGTGCAGTGGTGCAGTGACAGCTCGCCATAGCCTCAACCTCCCAGACTCAAGTTATCTTCCTCCCATCTCAGCCTCACAAGTAACTGGGACTACAGGAGTGTGCCACCATGCCTGGCTTTTTTTTTTTTTTTTT